TGGTCATCAGCTTGTTTAAATTCTCCTAGAGGCACAAGTTAGTAATGTGAATTTCCTATGTACAGTGTTTGATTCATGAAGACCATGGTAATGGTTTATGACTTCTCAAAATTAACTGGGTTTCAGAGCACTTAGGTAAAGCCACAGAAGTCAAATATTTCTTCTGTATGAAGATACTGAACAGCATTTTTAAAGACTGAAACACTACTATGATACTGATAAAATAGAAACTAATATACAATTTTACACTTTCACACAAAGTAAATTACTTTCAGGTTTTTCATATTCTGCTTTCTAAAGTCAATCTAGTTAAGTTTAAAAATGTTATAAAATTTCAAATAAGATAATACCTGCTTGGAGAATGTTTATAAGGGGATTCTTGATTCCCAAACATACCAACTTCACAGGAATGAAGGAATGCTAAAATTATAATTCTAGTATGATCCAAATACATAAAAATGTAAACAATTGAATAAAATCTTCTCAAATAAAAATTTAAATATTCGTGATGTTTAAAGACTAAATGCTTATATTTGATCGCAAAATATTAGCAATATTGAAACTGATCCCGGAAAACTTGATGTAGAATTTCCAAAGAATTCTACCACAATTATAGCAATGCAAAATAGCCCTTTTAAATCTAGTAGTAGCTTGCCTTCTTTCTTCAAAGAGACAACAATGCAGTACAGTACCCGGAAAAGAGCTGAGACTGTCTGGAAAGAAGAACCCTTCTTCTTGCCACCCTTTTTGCCGCCACCACCACCCTCTGCAAATGGAAGAAAAGGAAAAAAGGATTAAAATATGCATGTTGCACATTAGAGACTACAGTACAGAAACCAACTTTAAATGTTTAGTGTTTACTTCTTGTATTCTCTGTGTCACCATTGTCCCACACAGAAAATACAACTTTCACAGAGCTGACCTGCATCTGCTCCACCATAGTTGGCAAAGAGTAAGGCCAGTGTCTTCACAGATGATTTCTGGTACAGTCCAATGACTGTTTCGTTCAGGGGGTCTTTGTTCTTCTCCAGCCAGCCAGTGATGTTGTAGTCCACTGTACCAGCATAGTGTACCAGGGAGAAGTGGGCCTCAGCCTTGCCTTTGGCAGGCTTAGGCTTCTGGAAGTTACTAGACTTGCCCAGATGTTGGTCATAGAGCTTGTTCTTGAAAGAGGTGTCAGTTGCCTTGGGGAACATGCACTCCTCTTCCAGGATGGAGAAGATGCCCATGGGCTGGAAAGTACCACAAGAAGTGACACAGAAAGATAAGAAGGGTGTGAAGCATGTGCTATGAACATCAAAGGTACCAGTGTGTCACTGGTAACATCTTAGCCTATTGGCTGGAAGACATTGCAGCAGACAAGAGGGAGAAACAGATTAGAAAGGAGACATTCCTTGGTTAGAAAGTTACTGAAGTCAGAAGAGAAAGTTGTTCCCACACATTTTACAACAATAGGTCAAATGAAATTAAGGCTCAACTTTTTTTTTAGTGTTGCTTTTTCATTTGAACATATATAAATCCCTTTGCTGAAGAAAAAATTATAATATGATACTGCGAAATACTATCCTCTCCATTAAACTTCTTTACTGACTCATACTTACAGAACATGGCAGGCTGTAACTTAATTTTGCAATCTGGAAATGAGAACTCTCAACAAAGGTCTTGATATCTGAATATGATCGCCAAAACCACTTCTATCCTGTAGCCAGCTTCACAAGGTAAATATTTGAAAAAATGAGAATATTCTCACATGCTTCTTAAGTATGCCTTTTCACAAGCATGGATGATCTGATATATAATAGACCTGAACAGGAAGGATACCTTCTCAATGAGCTCAATGCAGGCAGCCAGGTCCATCCCAAAGTCAATGAACTCCCATTCAATTCCTTCCTTCTTGTACTCCTCCTGCTCCAGCACGAACATGTGGTGGTTGAAGAACTGTTGCAGTTTCTCGTTGGTGAAGTTGATGCACAGCTGCTCAAAGCTGTTGAACTGCCAAACATAAAAAGGCATGCAATGCTTTCATGATTCAGTAATAACAGCGATGTATTTTCTTGTGCAATCATAATTCATCATGGGTGATACTTTAAATATGAGGCCGCTTCCAGTGTAATTTTCCTGTGCCATCTCGCTAGGATAGGCACACTTCTATGAAATTTCTACTTCATGTCTATGGAAATGATAGGAAAACTGTGTTCCTTACATCAAAGATTTCAAAGCCAGCAATGTCCAGGACACCAATGAAGTACTGTCTGGGCTGCTTGGGATCCTGCTGTTGGTTGAAGCGAATAACAATCCACAGGAACATCTTCTCATAGACAGCCTTTGCCAGAGCACCAACTGCATTGTTCACCTAAAGCAGAGAAGAAAGGGCTGGAGTTACTTCCTAGGTTCAAAGGAGAATGCTGAAGCACTCTTTCAAGCCAATTATTTTCAACCTCCAGATTTTACCTGGGACACATTTTGCCCTTTGGTCACGTATTCATTCCCAACCTTGACTCGGGGATAACACAGGGCTTTGAGCAATTCAGCTGAGTTCAGGCCCATCAGGTAGGCAGCCTTGTCGGCCACTAAACACCAGTATTGAATAAGAGAGAAATTATTTGACAATTCCTTATTTGGTCCCTGTCTCAAAGGTAACAAGAGTGTTCACTGTTCCAAAGTTGCACAACAATATCTGAGTCAAAATTTCAAAGCTAAGTTCTCTGTTGTTTTCAGGATTCAATCCACCGGACTTTCTGAGCTTCAGCTTCTGCAAATGTTCTTCAAGAGAACTCATTGCTTTCATCCATTTTCAGGCATGGCTATGGGACTTCACACTTTCTTTCTAATCATATTAGGATTTCTTTCTAGTCATAGGATTCTTCAGTCAGAGAGCTGGGAGCATGGATTGTACTTCCTGCTGTGACACAGACTAATCAGTTACACATCTCACATCAGAGTTCCTCTCAATAGATGAGGGTAAATAGGAGCACAGTGTCCCATCTTCATAGGGCTGAACCACTTCTCTACTCCACAATACAGCAGAGATTGCAAGGTGTATTCCAACTAAAATTTGACTAATAATGTTACAGTAATTGACATCCATGCCTCCTCCTTTGTGGCAGTGTACACTTAATCACTTATTTATTAAGTAGTCACAGAGTAAAAATCCAGGTATCGTTATATGACATACATGTCTCTACTGTCATCTAGATGTTGAAAAAATTCTTTGTTGTTTACAATTTTTCATTATTAAAGCATGAAATTTGCCTAAGTCCTTCTTTAGATGACAGACAATTTCTCTTGGAAAGCTTGCTTAATCTGCTGATACCTTCTGTGCCATCTGGCTCTGCCTGCTCCTCTCGTTGCTTCTGCTTGAACTTCAGGTTCCCGTAGTGCATGACAGCCCCTGTCAGCTTGTAGATGGCTGTCTTTTCATCAGCACTGAAGCCCAGGATGTCAATGGCACTCTGGTAATACAATCAGTAAAGTAAAGGTTTGTCTATCAGGGCTCATATCCACTGTGCCCATTCAGCTGTTTGATAAGTTACTTACGTCTGTAGCCATGAGCTCCTCCTGGTCATCAATGCTTGGAACAGTGATTTCACCTTGACTCACAAACTGGAAATCGTAAGGGTTGGTGGTAATGAGGAGCATGTCTGAAATCAATAAAAAGGGGACAATGAGATTAGCTTTCCAGATGACACAAGCTTTCCAGGTAAGCTGTTGCTCAGAAGTTTTCCTTCAGAAAGGTTAGTGACCGTCCTACCAATTAGCTCTGGCTTCTTGTTGGACATGATCTGATAAAATATGTGGTAGCTTCTTTCTGCCTTGAGCTGGAAAGTGACTCTGGACTTCTCCAGCAGATCTGGCAAGGACAGTTGGCCATAGTTAGCAAAAGAACTGAGGAATGTTAGAAGGAATGGGATCAGGCCAGGAGAGTCTCTTACAGGTTTCAATGTCAGCAGAAGCTAGTTTGCCTGTGGCCCCAAAGTGGATTCTGATGAATTTGCCCTGAGAAGGAGAAGACGTAGCATGTCAGCCTGGACGTATTTCATTGCCATCTCCTGACATGAGAAAACCACAAGCCTATCACTACTGTTCTAATGAGGAAGGATTTTTGTCTAAGCAACAACTTACAAAGCGTGAGGAGTTGTCATTCCTCACGGTCTTGGCGTTTCCAAAGGCCTCCAGCAGTGGGTTGGCGCTAATGATTTGATCCTCAAGCGTTCCCTGCAGGTTGATAATTATTTGCTTACAGTATTTAGCTGACATGGCAATTACATGCCAAGTGTTCAGTCTGTACTTCCTGACTCACCTGCATTTTGCCTGTTGGCTGCTCTTCCTTCTTCTTGTCTCCGCTGGCTGCAATTGTTGCAAAGTACTGGATGACACGCTTTGTGTTCACAGTCTTCCCTGCGCCGGATTCTCCGCTGCCAAAGCAAAGAGAGAAGCAGAGAGTGGTGGTCAGGCAGAAGGTCCCCTGGCACCGGGCAGCCCCGCAGGGACACGAGTAGGGAGTGTACATACGTGATCAGGATAGACTGGTTCTCACGATCTGTGGAAGAGGCAGAAGTAAGAAAGCTTTTCCTAGTGCTCACAAATAACAAAGAACTCAAAACCAGGAGAAAAAAATGGCTGAAGTTTCCAGAGTGCACAGGGACAGAAAACAGTGAAAAGCTGTGGGAATTCTTGTGTGTGCTTTCAGTGCTCCTGTCAGTACTTCATATATTATCAAGTGGATCAGTAAAGACATCACTTGAGAGTAGTTTTTGTAGTCTTATGCTTTTCAATTGTCTTCTCATCAGACTACTTTTTTCTCTCTTATTAGGTAAGTACATGTGACAAAAATATTGAGGTTGGGCTTTTACAGCAGGTAAATTCTCCTGAAGCTAAAATTTTCCTGAGTCATCTTACGGAAATTTGGAGGTGTCATGAACATGAGAAATGTTTGACAATTCTCTTTCACTGTTTTTCACTATTTTTAATATCTTTTTTTTTTTTTTAACTCCATTAAATACAGAAATTATGTATTGCTGAGATTATACATAGACAAGGTTTATTTTTAATTTTTCATTTTTCTATTCTGGACCTGTTTGCCTGAACAGGAAAAGCAGATCTGAAGTCATGCACGGGTTTTGTCGCACATAGAGGGAAGGGAAAATAAAAGGTCAAAGGTAGAGGAGAAAGTAGAAAGAACTTTTTAAAAGCCATTCAATTTAAATGCTAAAAGTTTTACTCTTTCCATGACGTAGTTTTCTGAGGTTTACTTTTTACTATAAGCTGCAAATGATTTAGAGATGTATCGATCAGTGTAGGGGTTATATAGATCATTAAAGACTGTACGTACTTTAGACCGCCCAGTCATCTTTTCCATCATTAATTCATTTTGCATAATAATCAAGTGAAGCTTATGTGCCTGCCTACTCAATGCAAAGATGCTCTGTTTTACTTGTTAGCATTGATGCTTGCAAATTTAAGTTGACTGAATAGACATCCTTTATAGGGTATGTGTGATATTACTGTATTCTGTACTCTCTGGCTGAGAATAGTTTAGAGATTAGGATAGATAAATCTATGCAGATAGGTAAGATTCCATTACACTCATTGAAGTCAAGAGCAAAAAACAGCTGTCTTCATTCCCATGAATTTACTCCTAGATTATTTTCATTAAGTCCAGGTATTGATTGTGATAGGAACACAGACACTTGGCTCACAGAGCCCATTACGGTTAAGTGCATTAATATTGCATTAACTTTACACACACAATATTTTGAGAGTTGCACCATATTCGAAGAGAATATCCCACGTTTCCCCCTACAGACAGTTCATTGCAAGAGCAGTTTAAAGGAAGCAAGCACTCACCAGTCAGCATGAACTG